ATAATAAGTATGTAAAAATGAAATGTTTTATTCTATAGATATTTCATTCGTGTCCGAGTAGCTGGGCCGAAAATGGGCCATGTCCTTTATATTTATACATGAGCAGGTAGTGATACATATGAAGGGCTGAACTGATTTAAGAAAGCAATAGAAAAACATTTCACCATTTTTATGTAAATAAGGCTGTCTTTTCTTAAAATTACTTTTAAATACATAAGATCCAGAAAGGTTTTTAGAAATAAATGATAGATTAGTATATATAAACATACTTATCCTCGGAATCTCCAAAATCTAAAATTGGCCTCCACTGTGTAGCCTCACAGTCTGGTAATCCATATGTGTAATTGTAATATTTCACCTTTCCATCTTGTCCATCTTCGGTTTTAAAATGTGGCTCCCATACACCTTAAATTTTATGTTTGAAGGTTGTCTTTATTAAGATTTTGATACAGTTACTATTTTGCTGGTACATCAAAATTAATCTTGGGCCTAGACACCAGACAATAGAAAAAACATAGCAATTAAGTTAAGGCTAGTACTATATTTAAATGGTGGTAAGAGATATTAACTACCACCAAGTAATCTTTACTAAACCCAGTCCATTTCTTATAAAAAAAAATTTATCATTCTCTTCTAACATTCATCAAACCTTCTTGGAATTGGTTTATTTATCTGTGAACGAAGTACTTACTTTGATTATAGTTTACGGCCAATCTACAGACGAAGTCGACCATGATCTCGTTGTGCTCACAGCATTTGTTTATTCTAACAGCGTATTGTCGTTCGGATATTTCATTTAAATCTGAATCAGCTACTTTAGCATGCATAGTCTTTGGTGATAAAACTAAAAGCGTAAAAACAATCAAGAGATACATCGTGTCGGCGTTTCGTAGCACCGAGATTCAGTTATCGATCTTTGTTAGTGACCGGAACAATAATTTGTTGTCGCGTTGAAATGCTTGCTTGAGCTTGGTATATTTGACTAGTGATGCATCTATATGTTTCTGTCAATGTTGTCTTTCTAGCTTCAGATTAAATCGCATTTCTTTTAATAAATCATTAACTACAAACAAATTAAACAAACCAAACATGTTGTATCAGTGCTTCCTTTGACAAAATGACGGATGACGTTTGAAAATTGTCATAATTTGACATATTGTCCGTTGTAGGCATTATGGTCTATGATTAAGGGTAGGTATGAGCAAAGCGAGGCGGAAAACGTATTGTTGTATAAATATTACAGTAGTTGGAGGCAAAAAAATCTTGATTAAAATTGAAATGAATTTCTTGAATTTTCGGAATCCATGAAAATGTTTGTTCTCGGGCAGGAATCCTAATACGCGGTTCAATTTGTCGAAGGTAAAATATAAATTAATAAACTAATTGAACATTGAACTGCCAAAGCGCATAGATAATACTGCAAAAATCATATTATCCTACAATTACCGTAATTTGTTATATAAAATAGAATAAATATATATAAAGGGGTTCCTAATTTGTTTATTTTATTTCCCCTTGTACTATCGTATTGTTAACGATGTTAATGACTGGTCTTAACTAGCTACACCGAAAATAACGTTTAACCAGAAAGTCTATGCAGTAAAAAGAAAACATGTGGAGTTTTATAAATTGTTAATAAAACTTAATTTTATTATTGTTTATTATTTTAATATTATTAATAACCGTACAAAACAGGATATTGTAGGAAAAATTATTATATTATCCAAGTAATTTAACACAATGGCACTATTACGCAAACAAGTCACGTATTTTAAAATTAAGGACACCTTTAAATATCTACATTGCATCATTTAGTAACAAATTATGATTACTAACAAACAAAAATCAAAATTAAACTTGTATGTAGTGAGAATATAAATTTTGTTTTTTGTTTGTTTAGGAGCAGAAGCAAGAAGCTTCCAAAACAAATTTTAGTGTATATAATAGTATCGGAGAAACATCTCGAAATTTAAGGTGACATACAACAGATGACCGTTGTAGCAACTGTGTCAAAACCTACCCACGCCTGATGAGTCCCACAAATAATAAGTAGTATGTGGGCACACAAAAGACATCGTCATGCCCTAATAGGCGAGCTGGTAGATAATGAAGACACTCCGTCGAAGTTCGATCCTTGGACAGAAGCCAATTTTCTAGATAACCAACGGAGCCTGATTACGCTTCGTTGTTTCTATCGATAATTGTATGAAAAATATCGACATTAAAATTTGTTGACATTACTCGCGCGTCATATCGTTAATGGTACCTAATAAGACAGAAATATTTCTCGAATTGCAAACAACAACTGCCTATACCAAGTTTCAATATATCAGATGAATGGATTAGGAACGCGTATAGGACAAATATAGATACACAAATACAAACATGACGTAATATATGTAGGTGCGTATTTACAATCAACCTACTGATTTCTGTCGCGAAACAATTTTGTTCCAGCCTGATTTTTTATTTTACCTTCCACCATCCTGCCTATTTCTACCGTGAAGCAGTAATGCGTTTCGGTTTGAAGGGTGGGGCAGCCGTTGTAACTATACTTGAGACCTTAGAACTTATATCTCAAGGTGGGTGGCGCATTTACGTTGTAGATGTCTACGGGCTCCAGTAACCACATAACACCAGGTGGGCTCGTCCAAGCTCGTCCACTCATTTTAGCAATAATAAATAAAAAAACTGTATGTCTGAACCAGTATTCCAATACAAAACATACTTCGACCCACGTTACGTGGCAAAAATGCGCTCCGGTAGCCGTTGATCAGGTGGACGGTCTGATCAGTTTAACCGTCTACTCGTGTACCCCAACAAAAGATTAATACCGTTCCCTCTCAAATTTAATAATAATTCATATATAATATCTTTTTCTTTATAAAACTAAAAACTCGGAAGAAATGTATTTAAATAATAGTTCATTGATTACAATCGACGGTTCATTGAAAACGTGGCAGTAAAGAAACAAGACATACGTTACTGGCTGTCGTCACCGACCTATTTAGGTAAGTGTAAAACCTGTTTGCAATTGACCACGAAAAGAAACTTATTCAAATGGGTTCTCAACAAAATAAATATTTTTGCATCCATTTCCACGCTGATTTTAGATATGCTAACGTCAAGATATACAGTGATCAAACTCCACATCAGAGAGAAACCTTAAAAATCCTGAAACAAGAACTTGAAAATCGAATTTCCAATGGCGAAACTAATATTTCTATTAAATATGTAAAAGGAGAACCAGCAATAGTAGAATCCTTACCAAAAAACTCTGCGCCGGCAACAAACAATCTAGTACCAGAATAGGAANAACTCTGAATATGCATGATAATAGCTGCTAACTTATAAAAAATCGCGTTTCGAATTAACTTCCTGTGGTGGTAATTATTTTAGTGCTAGAAACTTTGCTCTCTTTTATTTATTTGATAATAATAGAAGACGACTATGATTTATAAACGTTATTTAGTGTTTGAACCAGCATATATATTAAAGGTAAGTCTCAGTTGTTATTGGTTTTAATGTATTTGATTAAATAAAAGTACATGTAAAAATCTGTTGTTTTTGGGGATATTGGGGACGTCTTAGGTACAAATAACAACGAAAAAGGGGTCAATTGGGATGAGAATACGTGAAATGGAAACGACCTAAGTATAAATAGGTACAGGTTTGTAGGCTTGTCTATGTAGTTATAACAATATTTTTTAAATTTGTTGGTAAAAATCTGGTTTATTCGAAGCGAAATTGGGAATAAGTCTTTAGTTGAAATAGATAAGCAATTTAATATAAGTAAGTCGATTTTGCAGAGACATGTAACAAGATCAATGAAATCTCAAGGTGGACAAAAATGTCTAAGTAATACATAATAAAATGTTTAATATTTGTTCAGAGTGGGGGTATTCATCTGATTAATCCATGGAATAACCGACACACCTAATCTCTTAACCCAGATAGAAATATCAGCCCCTAAGTACTTACCAAGAACGGAGAAATATAAACAGTTTCTAAGAAAGCCCACTATATATGTATAAATATATATATTTTTGTTGTTAATGCACTGTCGATTGCACCTATAATTGAGGTGATGTCTGCCATGTACTTTTGTCAGTTTTTCAATTTTTTTTATTGATGATCACTTGGTTGGTGCAACTAAATAAATAAATAAATTAAAAATATATATAAAAATAAAAGTAGTGCCAACCCTAACAAATTTCTCATTACGTCCCAATTAACCGCAATTTTCGGGTAAATAGGGATTACACCTATTTTTGCATTTTTTGCTTAAACTGGAATGATAGTTGCATAATTTTAAATTAGACAACAAAGATGCCCCCAAGACTCAATCATTTTGATCCTGATATAGCATTATATACATCAACAACTACCATAAAATTGCTCATAAAGTTGGAATTTGTCCCTAATCGCCCCATTTTACGGTATTGTCCGTTGTAGGCATTATGGTCTATGATTAAGGGTAGGTATGAGCAAAGCGAGGCGGAAAACGTATTGTTGTAAAAATATTACAGTAGTTGGAGGCAAAAAAATCTTGATTAAAATTGAAATGAATTTCTTGAATTTTCGGAATCCATGAAAATGTTTGTTCTCGGACAGGAATCCTAATACGCGGTTTCATTTGTCGAAGGTAAAATATAAATTAATAAACTAATTGAACATTGAACTGCCAAAGCGCATGGATAATACTGTAAAAATCATATTATCCTACAATTACCGTAATTTGTTATATAAAATAGAATAAATATATATATAAGGGGCTACTTATTTGTTTATTTTATTTCCCCTTGTACTATCGTATTGTTAACGATGTTAATGACTGGTCTTAACTAGCTACACCGGAAATAACGTTTAACCAGAAAGTCTATGCAGTAAAAAGAAAACATGTGGAGTTTTATAAATTGTTAATAAAACTTAATTTTATTATTGTTTATTATTTTAATATTATTAATAACCGTACAAAACAGGATATTGTAGGTAAAATTATTATATTATCCAAGTAATTTAACACAATGGCACTATTACGCAAACAAGTCACGTATTTTAAAATTAAGGACACCTTTAAATATCTACATTGCATCATTTAGTAACAAATTATGATTACTAACAAACAAAAATCAAAATTAAACTTGTATGTAGTGAGAATATAAATTTTGTTTTTTGTTCGTTTAGGAGCAGAAGCAAGAAGCTTCCAAAACAGATAAACAAATTTTAGACTTAAAAATTAAAATCTTATTGAGTATTATTATCATAAAGATATAATAATATGCATAAAATTGCCTATACAATAAAATACATAAAAAATATCCGTGATTAGAGATTACATCCATTAGAGATTACTTTTTATTAACAAAGTATTTATAATCTAAAAAAAAAAAAAAATATTATTTAAATGAGTTATCGTTTCCATTTTTACAGATCACATATCCTTTTATGTATAGACAATGATTACGAGTTTGATTATTATTTGTTTGTAACTAATTAATTTAATCGGACTTCGACGGTTTCATCGCCCAGTATGTTCTGTTGATCATCGGAATCATCATGTGGGCTAAGTTTATCCGAGAGCCGGCGTGTTAAGAAAACACAACAGTTTTCATTCGTTAGATTTTGGATTACTTTCTTTCTCAGCACTACGAGCAATAAGAATATAATAACGCCTTGGAGGCAGTTGAAAATATCCATGATTTTCCTGAAAAAAAAGAAAAAAAAAACGATAATTGTTTATTGTATAGTGTAAAAGATTTTAGGCTGCCTTGTCGTATTTAGTAGAGTATTTATTTTGAAATGATATAAATAAAATCAAAGGAATAGTAAAATTTTCGAAGATTATAATTATTTATTTTTACGAACCAGATAATATGCGACTTTCCGTGAGCGAAACTGGCGATTTCGAATATCCAGGATATCCCCATGACCAAGAAGAGTTTCAATGATAGCAGGAATCTGAAATTTAAAAATGAAATTATCACCAATCGGTCCGTCCAGTTTGTTTTTTGCTTCAGAAGGCAGACGCAGTCCACATGGTTGCGATCACCCTTGTTCAAGGACATACCGCTGTATAACGCGACTTTGCAGCTTGGAGTTATATAAAAGTCGCTGTTAATTAGGAGGGACCACCCCACCCCTCCACCCGAGTCCGAACTTGTCTAATGCAAGTCATTTTCTAGGCGTGAAATAGGCGTGTAATAGTAGTAGACGTAATAGTTTGAGGCTTACTTGACTTTGCCTTCCTAGTAGATACAATACTACACCAAAAAGGTCGATCTTAGGAAAAAGAACATTCTGGAAAGGACTTAAGGTGTATACCGCCAAGGGATACTAGTAATTTTATAATGTACATTATAATTAATGTGTTAATAAATTGGAATGGTAACGAGGTATGAATGAAATATTTACTAATTATTATTTATTATGTTAGCATTAATAAGTCCAATTAATGTTTAAATGATCTGAGTAGTCGCAAATTATTGCCGCGCGCTCGGGAAAAGTACGTGTAAGATATAAATAAATGCATTTAAACATCGACATCAACTCTGGTGTCGAACAGTGATAAGCGATAAGGCCGCCCATTATTTGCATGCACGTTAATATTACTAATTAATTTGCAATACATATATTTTCAGTATTTTTAGATAAATAGCACAATAACGTACAATATTAAACATACAATATTAAACATGTATGTTCTGATTTATAACTATAACTATACCTACTATAACTATACGTGAGACCTTAGAACTTATATCTTAAGGTGGGTGGCGCATTTATGTCGTGGATGTCTATGGGCTCCAGTAACCACTTAACACCAGGGCTGTGAGCTCGTCCACCCATATAAGCAATAAAAAAAATTGTTAGTAACGTATTTTAGTCATTAGAGAGAGAGTTAACGTATGAGACCTAACGAGTCCATCTTAATAGAGCTAAACATCCAAAAAGCCTCTCTGTCATCTGCCAAGAGTGTGTTTATGAGCTTCTTCAGTCATATCATGCGGTCTCCCAGAGATGAATTACACAAGCTCATATTTTGGGTCGTATAGAAGACAAGCGCGCCGTGTGCAGAACACTAGTCAGATTGTCAGATCTGGTTAAGAAAGCGGTTGGTAGTAGTCTATACCATGCGGTCCATGCCACCCATAACCGAACACTATGGAGGAAAGTCACGTCGCCTTTTCGCATTAAAAGTGTAAAATTTTCAAAAATATTCGAAATTGAGTTCACATGCGTAAACATTTGGTACCTATCACCAGTATTTTTCTCATAAATACTGTCAAAAGAGCGTAGGTTAGGTTTTTTTTTTAATTCACCTATGTTTTTACTACTGTTAACCAAATTAATACATAATTTTATCATAATTTAAAAGACAGATAATGTAACTGCTAAAAAATAAAAATAAAATGTTGCAAATATGATTAATATTAAAAATATTACATGTTAAACATTTAAAACACTCTCCTGTAAAATTAGTAAGTTCTGAGATTATACAATTTAATGCGAGAAGACGACATGTGGTCGCGATGCTCAGCAGTGAGGGAACGATGAAGAAGAGAGTAATAAATCTATGAGAAACCCTTAATTAACATACTTATTTAACATTAACAGTGTAAACTAGACAAGTAATTGAATAGATACTAAACATGCTATAGAGTTAAACTAAAATAAAATCGATTTGCCACCAAAACAAGTAAATTGGATTAACGTATAGTATACATAGCTTTTGATGGATCATTATAAACACTATAACTTAACCATGGGCTTACCGCAAGGGTATATCGTCTGGGCGAGTTATTGAGTTCCACCCAAAAACTGGTTAGAAAGAGAGAGAGAGATAGATTTGTCTATTCCTAACACCCTAAGTATTCAGTCTACCAGTTATCATGGCGCTGAATTATGGTGAACTCATTAAATTTATAAATCGTGATAAGAGCCCGTTACATAATAGTGTCAGTACATCTTAATCAGTGGTCGAATGTCACAACAGAAAAAAGTACAATTCAAACAACAACAAAAAAAACCTTACTTATACTTCAAGTTGTTCAGTTTATTGACTTCGTATTTAATGGTCTGCAGCCACAAATGAACAAATGACAGCAAGAATAGCCCAATATTAAACGCTATCAAACACGCAATCGGTCCGTAGAAAAAGATCCATGTTTCGGTGCGACCTGAAAAAAAAAACAATTGTCAGTGAAAGAAGCGACGTTAGTGTAAACATGAAAACGTTTGTGTAATGATAAAAGTAAAATGAAAACTGATGCAACATATTATGACCTTGAAATATATGATCAAATTCTTGAATTATATCCGAATATCCGAATAGGCGAATTTAGGCAGCGGCTTGGCTCTGCCCCTGGCATTGCCGAAGTCCATGGGCGACGGTAACCACTCACCATCAGGTGGGCCGTATGCTCGTCTGCCTACAAGGGCAATAAAAAAAAGAATAATCGTGTTTGAGTACAAATCGTGATTACTTCCGTGATGGTTTTGCGGGCTGAAATTAGGGTTGCCACCTTTTTTTTTGCAGATAACGTGCTTTGGTTATTATTGGTAGGAAAAAAGTACATAGTATCAAAATAAAGTACAATTTATTTATTATTATTATGTTTAAATACATTTTTTATTAACATTGAACAAATTAAACGAGACATTGTGACAATTCATGACAGTGACATTGTTGACATTTGAGATTAAGTTGCGGTCAGAAATATTTGTTAAAAGCGAGTGCTTAGGTGATGTGGCGTTGGCGAGTGGCGACATCGATTGTATTCCGCAATCAATGTATTCCGCTTAACGAAACAATAGATATGACTAAACATTTCAAAATCTCAAAGAAACCAAATCATGCCAAATAAAGTATTTTCGTCTATACTTTATTGTTCACATAAAGTATAGAGTACAATTACCTGAAATAACGTACAATACTTTATTATAAAGTATGGGTGGCAACCCTAGCCGAAATGGTCAGAACGGTGTTACTATATTGTGCGGCCGCTGAATACGCTCCACCGTTAATATTCGTTAATATTCACACAAAAAAAAAATACATATGCAGATACCATAGATATAATAACGTATAGAATTACAAATTATTTATAAGTGACTAGTTTATATAAATTTTCTTAATAAATAATTAAGTATACAAAAGTATCCCGTACTGACCGTTGAACCAACAACTAGATTCACCAAAACCTGGTTTCCAGTGGTCTCCGTCGACGAAGGTCGTAATGATGGCCACAAAGAGTAGTGCTAAAGTACCGCCCCACGCGTAACAACTGTACCACAGAAATTGCTTTCTATCCGATTTTGCCAAGCGAGAAGCGTTGCTAAAATGTAGACAAGAATAATTATTAACATCTGCACGTGAGAGCCCCACTCGTATAATATTTTTGAATACAAACCTTAAAGTAGATCTCTAATTGATTTGTTGCGCGAACCCCAGAGTTTTTTTATTGCATATGAGATATGAGTTCTAAGGACTGAGTATAGTTACAACGGGTGCTTCGCCCTTCAAACCGAAACGCACTATTGCTTCACGGCAAAAATAGGCAGAGTGGTGGTACCTACCCGTGCGGATTCACAACAGGTCCTACCACCTGTAATTACGCAAATTATAATTTTGCGGGTTTCATTTTTATTATACGATGTTATTCTTTCACCGTGGAAGTCAATCGAGAACATTTGTCAAGTACGTATTTCATTAGAAAAATTTGTACCCATCTGCGGGATTCGAAAACCGCTTAACAGACTTTTAAGTATTTAAAAAAATAAGTTGTGTCATTTAGTGTCTATACGGAAAATATATACCAAAGAAGTAATGTCCATAAAATATTACCCAAAAATACATCTCTTGTTCAAATGCTAATATTGATTCAGTTTCTATGACAAATTGACCCACCCGTATAGTAAACATACCCACTTAATTTGTACATGATCCTAAAACTGGAGTGTCCATAATTGACACAGGATAAATATAAATCATAACTAACCCATTCGGAATATTTTAAATACCTCAATTATTATGTTATGTAATGTATTTTTTGTAATTAATAGTGTTTTTTTTTTTATTGCTGGATGAGTGGACGAGCTCACAGCCCACCTGTTGTTAAGTGGTTAGTAGAGCCCATAGACATTTACGACGTAAATGCGCCACCCACCTTGAGATATAAGTTCTAAGGTCTCAAGTATAGTTACAACGGCTGCTCCACCCTTCAAACCGAAACGCATTACTGCTTCACGGCAGAAATAGGCAGGGTGGTGGTACCCACCCGCGCGGACTCACAAGAGGTCCTACCACCAGTAAAGTATATATCGATGCGAAATTTTATGATTCGAACTGCATGATTATATGAGCCACAATATTCCTCAAAGTTTGTTATAAACATAAAATTTAGTTTTATACTCACAGCACTGAACGACATACGTTTATACAAATCACATTCATCCAAAAGAATGTTGCTATCATCCAAGTGTACACGACGAATCCTAAAACATTTTAATGTATTAACTGCACAAGAGTTAGATATTTTTACTTGTAGGCTAGTTACGTTTAGAAAAATGTTCAAGGGCATCTTCCACGTTATTAATAGGTAGGTTAATGTAATCGTTTAATGTATTATATTGTGAATATATATTTTTTCCTTACATTATTCGTTAGATTGGTTTTCGTTATCGTGTTGTTTTGTCATAATTGTAAGGAACGTTGTTATACAAATTCAGCACTATATGTATTGTTTTGTCGTGCGCACATAACTTATGTTGCAAGCCAGGTTTTGTTTCTTTTTATTTGTGTTTTTTATGTATCTTTAGCTTGTGATGTGTATTGTGAGCCTAATATAATAAAATAAATAAATAAATAAAAATTAAAAAATGTTAATGTAGAATAGGGAGCGCACTGCATAAAATCTTCTGTTATTTTAATTAAAAAATATATATAACACCATTTTCACGCCTTAACAATAGACCTTTAAAATACGTTTCATTTCCATAGGTTTCATACTTCAGTGCGCCTTAACCGTCTTCGCCATCTTCCTTTTCTTTTCTGTCATTGTGTCTGTCATTCTCTTTCTTACTGTTTTCTCTCATTCACATCTTAACGTTCCTTTTCACACTCTTTTCATACGTTCCATTCTTACTACATTAAAATATGTACACATGTATGTTTAAGCAGGAATAAGCTTTAAAGTTTTCAGTAGTTATTGATAATCGCGTTATTTATTTTAATATCGTAGAAGATATTAAAGTTGAACTAAATTCAATTCCGCTCATTTGGAAACCTGCCCAGAGAGTTTTCGTTAAAAATCGCAAACCAAATATAAGAATTATAATATTCGTTTCCATGGTGTCAGATGTAGCTAATCTTTGTGTAAAAGTCTATGAACAGTGGCAAACCCATCGTATATTTGAGCTCCATACCCCATTCAGTCGAATTTTGTAAAGTTTGTCAATATTGGATATTATCAAAAACGTAAATATAGTTAAAAAAAAACTTTTTAGTGACAAGTTGAACAAATAATTAAAATAATCCTTTTTTATCTTGATAACCCGGGTCAGGATATTAAGCCAAATAATAAAATTATGGTATTGTCATCGATCATCTAATTTTCAAGTTAATCAGACGTGTTAAATATATGTAGGTCAAGCTAATAAAAACTTTTAATTATACCTGTCAATGTACATAAATCTTGACGAAACCCTGTATTCAGTTGCAGCACTCCCAATGACAAGAATCCAAGTGCCATACTTATGCTCATAGACATGTAACATAAGCCTTGGAGGTCTCTGAAAAGAATTTTTTGATCAATCTACCTACTTAATACATTGCAGTTATAAACTTTATGTATACCATCTGACAAACCATAATTCGCACATAATAGTACAAAGATGTGAAAGGATATTAAAGTCATTAACTTTGTGAGGTCTACGGAGTCCGACTAAACACGATGTCTACGACATATGTTAATAATAATGTATGAGTACATGTAGCAGATATATAAGGTATTCCAAAAGGAGGTTTCATAATTTCATATTGGAAGAATACAAATTATGTAGTTATTGTACAAATAATAGGGTAAATACTAACCTTAAATTTGGAAAATACGTGTACACAGCGAAAGTCGCTAAAAGAAACACTACAGAGATTAATGTTAGTATTCCGCTTGTCTCAATGTCGTTGGCCTTAAGCGATGGTTCGAAGCATACAAGCGCAATAGAGATAATTCCCGAACTAGAGTCTGTACCGTTTTTGTACATCGCACCGAGACAATACCTAAAAGAACAACAAGCAAAAGACGTAAAAGAAAAATACAAGATTTCAAAGCTTTTATGGTGGCCGCATACTATGGTAGGTATATGAAAGATAATATGAAAGCGTTCTCTTAACGATTGAATGTTTTCTAGTTGTGCATTGACAATAAAAATTGTATTTATTGTTTTAAAAATAGATAGCTTCCATTTTATGGAACATTAGAATTTTGGTTGTAGATTATTCTTCTTATATAGCACAACGCTAATTCTTATAGACATGACATCGAAGTCTGTATTCGGACGAACGGATCCTACCTTTCGAACCGTGAGGGGCGTTAAAATATTATTGTTTAATAATAATAATAAAAAGGCTTACTCATCAGGATCTTCGGCGAAAACAAAATCTGGAGTGTCCTGAGTAGACACCTTATTTCCATTCAAGATTATATCTTTCAATAGCAATCTTCCATTGCTGCAGTTCATGCTGACCATTGGCTCTGTGCCGCATTTACCCCGTGGTGAAATTATTACGCCATCGGGACAGCATTGCTTCCCGAATACAACGATTCCACAACACAATAATACGAATAAAGTAATTTCCTGAAACAACAGAAAATATAAATAAATTTGAAAAAAGTATTCTCTAACTCTGAAGTTCAATTTAGGATAAAACCATTTGATGGGCCCATGAAACCTTGTTTTTTATTCTTCGCTGGTAGCCTTAGAGGCTATTCCAGCTACGCCCGTAGGGGAGCTACGCCCAGGCGCAAACTATGCCTATACGGGAAAACCTATAGATCGTTAGGAAATTGCTATAGATCGTTAGAAAATTGCCGATCAACACATTACTAGTATTTATAATGGTTAACACGTATTTACGAATGATTGCCATCACGAAAGAAGAGCAACGTGTATTAAAAAATTACATATCGAGGGGTGAAAGACTATTTATTTGGCTTAAGCGACATTTTTGTAGTTGTCGTGGCCTAACGGATAAGACGTCCGGTGCATTCGTGTTGAAGCGATGAACCGGTGTTCGAATCCCGCAGGCGGGTACCAATTTTTCTAATGAAATACGTATTCAACAAATGTTGACGATTGACTTCCACGGTGAAGGAATAACATCGTGTAATAAAAATGACACCCGCAAAATTATAATTTGCGTAATTACTGGTGGTAGGACCTCTTGTGAGTCCGCGCGGGTGGGTACCACCATCCTGCCTATTTCTGCCGTGAAGCAGTAATGCGTTTCGGTTTGAAGGGTGGGGCAGCCGTTGTAACTATACTTGAGACCTTAGAACTTGTATCTCAAGGTGGGTGGCGTATTTACGTTGTGGATGTCTATGGGCTCCAGTAACCACTTAACACCAGGTGGGATGTGAGCTCGTCCACCCATCTAAGCAACAAAAAAAAAATTTTTGCAATTTTCCAGGAAAGCCATTTAAAGTTTAATACATATTTGGAAAAATAATAATAACAAAAAAACTTCTTCAACTATTTGAATTTAGTACACTTAATTGAAGTTCTATTAAAAACATCGAATTGTTAATGATAATACCAAATAAAGCGGAGCTTTAATTTCAAAGATAAATGTCGCGTATTAAGCGAAATGTCGCTTAAACCAAATAGTCTTTCACCCCTATTATATAGCTATTATATAGATTCCGTATTCAAGTCAACAAACAGTTGATTCTGTGTGAAATGAAACGTAAAAGAATATTTTTTATGGAGAAATTACGGTAGTTAGTACAATATGCGAATGTCGATGAAAACCTAATTCGTTCGTGCCCCCGAAAACTGTAAAGTATTAGAAAGATCGGAATATAATTTAATGAGAATAAAATACGTGAGATTATTTTTTGCATTTGATTGGTAAAACATCCTAGAAACAATACCATTGAGATTACAATCTCATACCTCCAGGTGGCTGGACGTATTCGCGTTGAGATCTCCATACCGCTTCGATAATCACCTTACTTCTTAATACCTGGTTTGTAGTTTGTAGCATTTACCCATCCAGTGTGCTTAGTACGAGTCTTTTAACGTTTTCGATAGCGTAAAAGTTAACTCAATTTTGTATGCAGTTGGAACAGCGCCCCTAGCGGCAAACGTACGACGATCCCATTCCATACAAATATGAGCTAACTTTTACGCTATCGAGAACGTTAAAAAACTAGCACTAAGCACAAAGGGCTGCGAATCGTAATTTGGAATAACTTGCACTCGGTCACCCGACATAATGTGGTATTAGACTTCGAATGGGGTATTTAAGTAGGTATCTACTACTACTTCGTACTAATCTTCGAGATTTTTACGCCAAATATCTATAAATAAAATATGAAAAAAAAAACGTTATATTTTCATCGTAATTTGTAAATCTAGATTTTGGTATAGCGTTTATATAATAATAAACTGCAAATCATAGAACAAAAAATGGATGAAATAAAATATACCAAAATAAAAAACGGCTAAACCGAATGGGACTTTACATATAATATAGAATTATAGCACGTTACAACGAATATACTACTGGAGATAGGGGGATACCCAAGGAGGGTTTGTTGATGTTAGGCAGGTGGCCGGTCGTAGGCAAACGTTCCAACTCCATACAAATTTTAGTTAACTTTTACGCTATCGAGAACGTTAAAAAACTCGCACTAAGTATACAGATAAAGATTTCTTATGCAAAATGTCAAGGTTTCGTGTCATCTAGATTGAATGATATTAATGTGATCGAAGATGTAGGCCAATCGTCAATCAACGATCACTAATGTTATGCAAGGAGGGTAATTTGATTAAACATTTGCAACGTAGGTCAGTCTGGTATCACACTTCATAAACAAGAATTAATGCTCCGCGGTATCTGTAACGTACATAAATGGGTTGTTGTTTGTTTGATACCTAATTACGCAAATCAGGACGTGCTAATCTTTTCAACATAAAACTATGCTTTTATATGGACGTCATAGTGATCTTTCTGGTTTTCCGATTTCTCGAACTATTGTTGTTGATACTTCCAAGCAGCAGCGGTAAACTCTTATCAAATGTATTACGTGACTAGCAGTTACTCGCGGCTACGCCCGTGTGGCCAAGGAAAAGTCAGTGTAGTTTTCGGTAGGAATGAGATGTTCTCGGGATAAAATGTAGCCGACATAATTCTCCTGAAATATCGCTTCAAAAAAATTTATGTCCAAATGTGCTTCGTTTTGACGTGAAAGAAGAACAAAGAAATAGACAAACTTCCACTTTTAATACAATTAAGACTTTTATATGAGCTACTTATTCATTCGACTTACACATAAATGTATATATAACTTTCGCTTCTACCTAAGCGTAAGTCTAAGTAAGCCTAAGGAATATCTACTGAAAAATCGTGTTTTACATAACTGGTTTAGGTTCCTGTGATTAGAGACTAGGTAATGCCCTTCAGTTCTAGGGATATGGCAATCGAGTACTAAATCAATTGACTGAACATCTCATAAAGTGTGCATTCCGGTGGTGGTGTCTGACTATTTATTGGCTTCCGGAAACGCGTAATAATAACATGTGCGTTATCTACTCGGTTAATTTAATTATTATAATTATAATCGGCAACTTCCGGCTTAATTTTTTAAAACGCAGAAGATAAAGAATACTAAAAAAATAAAGCGTGTAATAATATGAATCCAGTAGAATTCCGATGTAATCTATTTAAAAAATAATAATGTACAAATCACACACACACACATGCAGATCTTGAGCGCCACAATATTTTTCATTACGTACTTTAAAAATGGATGTTAGTATGGTCGATAACCTACGACACGATCTGTCCGATTGAGTTGTGCAGTGGTCATTCACATTACAGAAAAAGTTTGTCATACTGTGAACTTACGACGATAGCAAGCGAGTTGATTCAACATCTTTTTTGGGCATCGGCCTTTGTGGGCAGATGAGGGCACGGTCCACCTGATGATGAGTGGTTATTGTCGCCGACAGACGTCAGCAATGACAGGGGCAGAGCTAAGCCGCTGTTTACCGTTAATTTATAAACTGGTTACTGGAGCTCATAGACATCTACAACGTAAATGCGCCACCCATCTTGAGATATAAGTTCTAAGGTATCAGTATAGTTACAACGGCTGCTCCACCCTTCAAACCGAAACGCATTACTGCTTCACGGCAGAAATAGGCAGGGCGGTGGTACCTACCCGTGTGGACAAGAGGTCCTACCCCCAGTAATATGTGATGGCGCATTATGTCCTCTTATCATGGTACCTAGGAGCTTGGCATGAGTTGTACTACCGGCCACCGGCCTAACATCAACCCTCCTTGGGTATCCCCCTATCTCCAGTAGTATATTCGTTATAACGTGCTATAATCCTATGGTATATGTAAACTCCCATTCGGTTTAGCCGTTTTTTTATTTTGGTATATTTTATTTCATCCATTTTTTGTTCTATGATTTGCAGTTTATTATTATAAACGTTATACCAAAATTTAGATTTACAAATTACAATGAAAATATCACGTTTTTTTTTCTTCATACTTTATTTATAGATATTTGGCGTAAAAATCTCGAAGATTAGTAAATACCTACTTAAATACCCCATTCGAAGTCTAATAAATACCACATTATGTCGGGTAACCGAGTGCAAGTTATTCCAGATTACGATTACGCAGCCCTTTGTGCTTGGTGCTAGTTTTTTAACGTTCTCGATAGCGTAAAAGTTAGCTCATATTTGTATGGAATGGGATCCTTTGCGTACGTTAGAAGACGGCACGACATGAGAACCTTCTTGTCGTGGCCGCTGGAAACTACATACCCGATCCTGTAGACCGAATGGTAAACCGTCGACGTCGCCCAAAGCATGTCATCACGGATCCTCCTGATCCCTTAACGGTGCTTTTAGGCACTACAAGCACCGGTCACCGTCCTCGTCGAACCCGTCGCTTGCGACGAAGGGCTCGACGAGGGAATTAACCCACAGACACAAACCACTGAGTTTCTCGCCGGATCTTCTCAGTGTCTTGCTCAGTCACTGCTCTTGCTAGGGTCAGTGTTAGCAACTCTCCGGTTTGAGCCCCGTGAGCTCACCTACACACGCTAGGGTAAGCTGAAGTAGCCTCTCAAGGCTATCAGCATAGGTAGGAAAAAAAAATGCGTACGTTTGCCGCTAGGGGCGCTGTTCCAACTGCATACAAAATTGGCTTAACTTTTACGCTATCGAGAACGTTAAGGAACTCGCTCTAAGCACACTTGAACGAGACGAACCCTAAACCGAAAACTTTAATTTATTTACGAGAAAGGAAGACCGGCACTCGTTGGGTCAACAATAAAGGTTATCAACTACACGTTGAACGTTCGTTAATATCTCTTATTTGTGTTTGTTTATTCGTCGGCCGAGACAATTCTGTGAATTCTCAAACAAACCGATGTATTTGAAAAATATCCGAAACCTATATGTGTGATGTGTATTGTTATATTTTTAAACGGTGTGGGAAGACCGTTATCTAAGCGGAAACGACATTAAACTACCCTAATGATTATCAATATATAGTATGTGTTTTTTTTCCATGGTCTTCTGATTGATTTTGTTTTTATGTTTTTTAATAACAAATTGACGAATTGAAGTGCATTAAAAAAATAGTGTAAACAAATTCAACAAATTAATAGGGAGAGCAGGTGCAAACTAACACGAAGACATTTTGAAATAAATAAACTATAACAATAAAAATTCCGGTGGAGTGTCGTAATATATCAAATTTTAGAGATTGCTAATATTCGTAACAAATATACCTGATACATATGTTCAAATAAGAACATAATATACTTTATTTTACAGCACTAGATGGGTAACTGAGTTCAGAGCACACCTTGCTTTCAAATGATTGCCAGGGTCCAAAGACAACCTAACGTCAATACCATGAACTTGAGTCGTGAGATCTAAGTGTGAATGGTTTAAGGACCGAGTGTTTCGCAATAGAAATAGGCAGGCTAGTATCTTGAAATGCGTCCTGCTACCGATCAAATTTTACCGTGTGCAATTACGCAGATCTAATCAATAGACAAACGAGGTGTCTGTTTCCTCTGTTAATGATATTCGATACAATGAACTCGTTTCGTTACTAAAGAGGCGTTTTAATGTTTCAACGAATGATTATGATCATCGTAGATCATAACATTCGATGAGACGCGTCCGAAAGACGTGAAGAGTATAGTACTAGTAATATAGTACTAGTGGTCCCGCAGTAGCCGAAATTCGACTAATAATTAATTCAAATTATATGTTTCAACATTATTTTGGTTTTATTGTCAAAGACTATTATACTTCTATAATCACAGATTTTGCCAAGACTACACTATAGACAAAATATTATTAAAGACAAACAATATTTAATCTACTCTCAATTTGACCACAGACTTTAAGCAATAACAAAAGTTTGACAATAAACAAAGAGTTTAAGTTACAAAGTTTTTGCTTCACGTATTAATATATAGATTTTCTTCGGTTTTCGCGAGTCGGACACATACGGTAATTAAATATTCTTTTAACGTTCACAGATAGCAACTGCTATTGTTATAATATAATAATAATAAAAAAACGCGATAAACTTTAAATGCGAGTATAAAATATTTCGAAATAGGTACCTACATCATAGAAGCTTTTCTTTAATTTCATACTACAAAGAATATATATTTATTTGGGGTTTCCTAACCGAAAATCGCTAATGGTATCTTGATAACTTATGCGACACTCGGGCAGGAATCGATAGCTATTTCCAATGGAATCTGCGCACTTGATTGTTGAAATTTAGAAGTAGTGTCATTTAATAAAATTCGAAATAAGATGATGGCAATCCCTACATGTAACCAATAAATGAAAACAATCATAAGGACTAAACTTTAACAGACTTCACAGAAAAAGAAGGATGAGCTCTTAAATTGGTACGATTTTTTTAACATTTAGCCTTGATACTTTAGGAATTTTCAAATTTTTAAATCTTTTGAGAGGAAATTAAGCGGCCAGTGAATAAAATATTAATAGCTTTACAGAACAAAAGTCCACCGGAAGAGAGATGCGATAAATAATTTATCAATGGAATGTGTTTTACAAATGAATAATATATTATAATATTCTGATATATTTAGGGGCATCCTCTTCTTGTCTAATAGTTATTATCGTCAACAAAATAGAAAAAATATTTAATTATTAACTAATTAAACTGTTATTAAATTAGATAAACAGATCGTGGCGTCTACATGTAAAACGATAATGATAATGATAACAATATAATTAGTATTTAGCGTAGTTAAACTGTAAACAGCAGATAAGTCGAGAGCATCGGTCGTATTATAAAGAAAAAGTAGTTGTTTACAATTAAAATTTAAATTGAATCGTGATTCGTTTTTTATGGAGCTAAGTGTAATAAGCAAACTTGATCTCTGTTAGATTTACTGTAGTCATAAGACGTGCGACAGTCCTAAGAGTAATGTTGGCCGGTAGGTAGGTATTTTAGTCTGGACCATAGCACGGCTCTTATTATAATAGGGGTTAAAGTATGAAATTGCCGTTTTATTGTAATGGGTACTTCGAATTGCGTTTTGTTATATGTATAATGAGAAAACAACATTTAAAG